TTGAGTTGTTTTATTTATGAATGAAAAGAAGGAAATATGTATCATTTCTTTTATTTTACAGTTAAATTATTATTTATGTACTTTTAAGATTTTTTATAATCTTAAATGTGGATGAAGAACTTTGTTTCTACATGAACTGTCGACCTCTTGCATTTTAATAAAAAAAAAAGACCTTGTGGAATTTGACATATTTGTTTTCGCAGTAATTTTGGGGGTTTATTTTTCCACTACAGATATCGAGATATATATCGTATATCGAGATATAGCAAAATATATCGAGATATATTTTTTGCTCCATATTGCCCAGCCCTATTCCGAAGCCCATTTCTCGAGCCATTTTCCGCTGTTAGGATCCAACAACCACATAATGTCCGATGTCCGAATCCCAAAACTAAAATATAACAATATCAGAACCAGAAACAAAAGGTTTAGGGTTCAAAAGACTTGAAAAGATCGACTTTGACAATAGACGCATCCCACTGGGAAAACACACATGGAGGTTTTGACGCTCACTTTATTGGGTTTATTGGGTTTTAGGATCCTTACCAGTATGGATTTCACGATGACCAGAAGTCCGAAATTCGTGATGCATGTATACGAGTTTAGATTTGACAGAACTAAAGTCTAAAGTCTGATCACCGTGTGCAAACAAAATCAAAACCACGACTTGACTCCAGAGAAATATGTGCCAAACTGCAGAGGTCAGGGGTCAGAGTTTGAGTTTGAGTTTATTGGATCTATACAAATGTAAACAGAAAAAAGTGAGGTCGCTTATTTCGTCAGAACACCGTTTTTAAATGTTCCAGAGAATTGGTGCAGTGTTTACTTGTTCTTGGACGTGAAAATCGAACATTTTACACAGATGAACCGACTTTATGTCAGATTTTAAATGCTAAATGTTTCCCAAATTCCCGACATGAATGGGATCCCGTTTAACCGGAAGTGCCAACACAAAAAAGTGAGATTTAAGAGCATTTAGAGACAAATTTGGATGGGGCGGAAAAAGGTGGATAAAAACAGTGGACTAAACCAAGACTAAACCAGGACTAAACTAAAACTAAACCAGGACTACATTAGGTCTAAACCAGGATTAAACTAAAACTAAACTAGGATTAAACTAAAACTAAACCAGGACTAAACTAAGACTAAACCAGGACTAAACTAAGACTAAAACAGGATTACATCAGGTCTAAACTAGAACTAAACTAAAACTAAACCAGGACTAAACCAGGACTGAACCAAGATTAAACCAGGACCAAACCAGGACTACATCAGGTCTAAACCAAGACTAAATCAAATCTAAACCAGGACTACATTAGGTCTAAACCAGGACTACATCAGGTCTAAACCAGGACTAAACTAAGACTAAACCAGGACTACATCAGGTCTAAACCAGGACTAAACCAGATCTAAACCAGGACTACATCAGGTCTAAACCAGGACTAAACTAAAAGTAAACCAGGATTAAATCAGGTCTAAACCAAGACTAAACCAGATCTAAACCAGGACTACATTAGGCCTAAACTAAAATTAAACTAAAACTAAACCAGGACTACATTAGATCTAAACCAGGACTACATCAGGTCTAAACCAGAACTATCAAAACGTTTGACTAATCTGATCCCTCCAACAGTAAACGGGAGCATAAAAGTCGTTTGTTTTGTCAAAAAACAGAAAATCATGTTTGCGAAATATCATAAAGCAAAAAAATCCAGTGTCAGAAGTTCCTCAGATCATGACTGACATGAGAATCCACAATGTTTCTCGCTCTTCTCACTATTTTATTTACACCAAACATCCAAACCCGACTGTGTCCAGGTTTAGAGTTTAGAAAATCTGCTCCCTCCACGTCTGACACGACAAAACATCTGCAGATTCACCAGAGACATTTGACCTGCTCCACCTCAGTCTGACACTCAGGGAAACAAGACGGGAGGGCATCTGACACACAGGGAGGAGGCTGGGAGGGCATCTGGTACTCACGGGTCTGCAGAGGCCCCCAGGCTCAGGGCGAGTACGAGGAGGAGCCGCCTCCACCACGAGCTGCAGCCAGGACCCATGTCTGAACCAGACTCACCTCCGACCGCACATATCTGAGAGAGCACAGGCCACGCCCCCACACAGGCCACGCCCCCGCACAGACCACACCCCCACACAGCTCCGCCCACAACACACAGACCCAGAACAACGAGCAGATCACGACAAACATAAAGACTCCCACGCTTCACAAACTGAGACAACATGAAAATATTTAAACAAGAGCAGCAGCCTCTCCTCATCTCCTCCCATGACCCACAGAAGCTGCTGGAGTTTGGTGTGACAGCAGTTTATTCTGCACAGAATATAGAAAACAGTTGTTGTAAATTGATTTGTAGTGGACATTCACCATGTGTTTTATCTCGTCTCGAGTTCTCCATAACAGTGAGGAGTACATGTAATAATCTTCAGGGTATTACAACATTTAAGTCTTTTACAATATTGTAATAACAAAAATAGGACAACAGCATTACTCAATACTCATTAAATAAACTACTCAAAACAATTAGGGGAACACTTTATTTTTGGGATATAACAGACATATATTGGCGCATTGGAGTTTTCCACCCAGCTAGTTTGCAACCTTAGTGACCTGTCAATCAATTTCACTGCCTTTGACCCAACTGCAATAAACAAGGTCTAGACAGGATTGTCAAAAGCGAGCCAACCCCCAAATCTGGAGTGAGTTATCTGGTGGTAGACGATTTTGTGCTCCTGACTTGCTGAATCGTTATTTCTTTCTTGTTTGAGGATTTTCTGATCATTTTGACTCTATTGCAGGTATAATGCGTTACCTCCAGCCTTGTGAAGTCACACAGGCAGTCCAGCTGCTGGAGGATGGGTCATCTGTACGTCAGGTGGCCAGAAGGTTCACAGTGTCTTCCCAGTGTCATCTCCCGTGCGTGGAGTCGCTTTCGAGAGACCGGCCAGTACTCCAGGAGGCCTGGACAAGGTCGAATAAGGGCCACCACCCAAAAGCAGGACAGATTTCTTTGTATATCTGCGATGCGGTCCAGGAGAAGCACTGCTAGGTCCCTTCAAGGAGACTTTCAGCGGACCACTGGAGTACGCATTTCTGACCAGACTGTCAGAAACAGAATCCACAAGGGTGGCATGAAGGCCAGGTGGCCGTTGGTTGGGCCGATTCTCACCGCCCAGCACCGTGCAGCCCGACTGGCCTTCAGCAGGGACCACCAGAATTGGCAAGTTCACCATTGGCGCCCAGTACTGTTCACGGATGAAAGCAGGTTCACTTTAAGTGCATGTGACAGACTTGACCGAGTCTAGAGAGGCCGTGGAGAGCGATATGCAGCATGCGACATTGTTCAGCATGAATCATTCGGTGGTGGGTCGGTTATGGTCTGGGGAGGGTCGCACAGACCTTCATGTGCTTAATCAAGGTACCCTGACAGCTGTTAGGTATAGAGATGAAATCCTCCGACCCACTGTTCGACCCTACGCTGGTGCAGTGGGCCCCAGATTTCTTCTGGTACAGGACAATGCCCGACCTCATGTGGCCAGAGTGTGCTGCCAGTTTCTGGAGGAAGAGGGCATCAATGCTGTGGACTGGCCCACGGGTTCTCCAGACCTGAACCCCATTGAGCACCTCTGGGACATTATGTATCGGCGTATTCGGCAGCATCCAGCCACACCAGAGACTGTCCAGGAGCTTACCAATGTGCTGATCCAAGTCTGGCAGGAGATCCCCAGGAGGAGTGTGCCACGATGTTGTCGAGAGTGTAAACAGGCTCATGGAGAGCATACCCACTACTAAAGTGGCTGTGCAATGTGCTGTGCTGCAAATTCATCATTTCTTCCACTGTCATTTCTCTTTACAGTCACTTTATTTTTCAACATCATTTCGTAATTCGGTCTTCCAAAGGTTAACTTTTGTTCTTCTTGGTCAGTTTGACGCTCTGTTGTTCAGGGTACATTGCGAATTTAGTTTCAGAACAAAACTGTAACATTTGTACATTGAGTTTGGTAATGAAATACAAGTGTTCCCCTAGTTGTTTTGAGCAGTTTTAGTTCTTGTGACCGTATAGTAGGGGTGGCACGGTTCATGAAAAAAACAAAAAACATTCAGTTCGCTTGTCACGATTCGGGACGTGCACGCACCGTACGGTTTCCACGGTTCCCGGCTTGCACATTGTGACCTGTTTCACTTGGGTGCAAAAGAAGAGGTGTGGAGGGTGGGTGCTGCACGTAGAAGAAAGGAGGGCCACCTGGAGATGGAGGATGCGCCTGTGTCGTTACCTCGCGAAACCACAGCCAAATGGAAATGCTGCCACTCTGTCTATTAGACGTCAGTGTCGGAGCAGCGGTTTGTAACATTCGGGAAGTAAATTTCTCAATCAAAAAATGATATAAAATTTTTATTTAACCTGTTTCTGAAACTGTAGTTACTGAAAAGTTTCACAGAATCTCGTGTTTTAAAACTAAACCAAGGCTCCTTAGATTTGAATTTTTGGAAAAGTCTGTGAGAAAAATGAATGGAAATTTTACTTCCGGATCCGGAGTGGACTTATAAGGAATCGTGGCGCTCTGCTCCTCGCCGCTGCCCTGAGCCGACCCGCTCCAGTTTATTCAACTCCGCCTCTGTGAAAATCAATTTATTTGGAAAAACAAATAAAAGTGTAATTTGTGTAGGACGAGAGAAGCACAGAGAGTTCAAAGGTCGAGTTTAACACAACAGAGTCACACGTCCAAAAACAAATCACTGATCAACACTTAAACTAGAGTCACAACTAGATCCTCATTTGAGCTTTACAACGAACTAGACCCTGGTTGAGTTCTGTTTTACACAGATATAAAGACACATGGGAATAGAAAAGAAAATACTAACATGAATAACATGAAGGGGGTTCATTGTTGTGGGCGGAGCTGTGTGGGGGTGTGGTCTGTGCGGGGGCGTGGCCTGTGTGGGCGTGGCCTGTGCTCTCTCAGATATGTGCGATCGGAGGTGAGTCTGGTTCAGACATGGGTCCTGGCTGCAGCTCGTGGTGGAGGCGGCTCCTCCTCGTACTCGCCCTGAGCCTGGGGGCCTCTGCAGACCCGTGAGTACCAGATGCCCTCCCAGCCTCCTCCCTGTGTGTCAGATGCCCTCCCGTCTTGTTTCCCTGAGTGTCAGACTGAGGTGGAGCAGGTCAAATGTCTCTGGTGAATCTGCAGGTGTTTTGTCGTGTCAGACGTGGAGGGAGCAGATTTTCTAAACTCTAAACCTGGACACAGTCGGGTTTGGATGTTTGGTGTAAATAAAATAGTGAGAAGAGCGAGAAACATTGTGGATTCTCATGTCAGTCATGATCTGAGGAACTTCTGACACTGGATTTTTTGATTTATGATCATTTACAAACACAATTTTCTGTTTTTTGACAAAACAGATGACGATTTATGCTCCTGTTTACTGTTGGAGGGATCAGATTAGTCAAACATTTTGATAGTTCTGGTTTAGTCCTGATGTAGTCCTGGTTAGTCCTGATTTAGTCCTGGTTTAGACCTGAGTGCCCTTGGTCCTCTCTCTCTGTAACAGCTGCTCTGATCTTTGTCATTTTGGTCTTAAAATGTTCAGATTAACCCACTCTACATAATCCTGTTTTTGTGTGTGTGTGTGTGTTTTTGTTGTTGTTGTTATTTTGTCATTTATAATGATGTGTAGTCAGTTCCTGGTGGTGCTCCCTGCGGTGGTGGAGTCTGGGAGTACGGTGAAGTTCTGCATGAGTCTGCTGCAGGTCTCTGAGGAGCTGAACTTCACCGTGAGTCTGATCAAAGACGAGAAGACGAGTTTACTCACAGACACAGTGGACGACGACACAAACACCTGCAGGACATTTCAGGTACTGCACCCTGAGACAGTCCTGGCTTAGTCCTGGTCTTAGTCTTGATTTAGTCCTGGTTTAGTCCTGGTTTAGTTCATGTTTTTTTTTTGTTTTTCAGGCTCCTGTTGTTGAAGATTCTGAAATCCAGAATTTTGAGTTTGAAATCAAAGGAAAAAACTTTCAACGATGGGAAACTCACAAAATCCAAATCAAGAACCACGGACTGAAAACGTTTATCCAGACCGACAAACCCCTGTACCTGCCCGGGCAGACAGGTGAGTGTCAGGTGCAGGAGGAGGCGGCAGGTGCTGGGCCTGTCAGGGAGGAGGCTGTGGATTTGACTCTTGATCTCTGAGTGGAGTTTGCATGTTCTGGTTTAGACTAAACCAGGACTAAACCAGGACTAAACCAGAACCAGGACTAAACCAGAACCAGGACTAAACCAGAACTGAACCCAGACTACTCCAGGACTAAGCCAGGACTAAGCCAGGACCAAATGAGGACTAAACCAAGAAAAGCCAGGACTGGTTTAGTCCAGGACTAATTGTTGTTTTTCTTGCAGTGCATTTTCGAGTGGTGACGTTGGACTCGAAGCTGAGACCTGCAAATGGTTCGGTGAGTTTTGAAATGATCAGTTTAAAGCCGCACTGTGTAACCTGCTTGTAATGTTGCCATATAAACCCTGAGATCTGTGGAGAGGCGAGCCTGTAGGAATGTTTGTTTTTCAAAGTTTATCAAATCTGCAGCTGAACCCAAGATGCATCGTGTTGTTTTCAGTGACCTGGGCTCAAAAATAATTTTCTCTTCCTCAATCCGGGCGAGCTCCTCCCACCGTGTGACGTCTGTAACGTGCACGGCCTGGAGCGTTTGGACCAATCAGAGCGAGAGCTGCTACACAGCAAAAACTGCAGAGTGAAAATTTCGAGGTGAATATTGCAGAGTTGTTTTGAACACAAAAAGTGTTATTTTAAATATTTGAAAGTTAAATGGAGGTTTGAGTTGGGATTATTTACCAGAGGTGATTTGGTTGAAGTTAATTCAACTTTCCTTAGTGTTAATTTGGCTCCTCCCATCCACATTCGGTCCTGGTTCAGTGCCGGTTTAGCTCCAGTTTTGTCCTGGTTTAGTCCTTGTTTAGTCCTTGTTTAGTCCTGGTTTAGTCCTGGTTTAGTCCTGGTTTAGTCCTGGTTTAGTCCTGGTTCATCCACCCACCATTTCAAACTCCCGTGAGAGAAAACCAGTTTGAACCAGTTTTGTTCATAATTTCATCTTAAATTAACTAAAATAAAGTGTAAAAATAAAACACCTCTGTGTGTTGTTTAGCTAAATGAGGATAACTCTACAAAGTGTTATCTGTTTACTCTCAAAACATTAATATAACTCTTGATTTCAGGGTTAAACAGGAACTTTGGTCCAGTGTTACTTAATTAACATTTTCAAAAATGTTAAATTAACTCAGAACAGATTGGACTCATATAAACCCTGAGAAAATGTTCAAATTGATTCTGTGAGAGTTCATTTTAACACTCCACTTTCTGGTTATTTCTGAAATTGGACCTTTAAATCTTGAGTCGAGTTCCAGACTGGGTCCAGATTGGGTCCAGATTAGGTCCAGTCCCACAGAAGTCCACAGAATGATCAGAGTAAACAGTCGTGCTTGAGAAGTGGTGACACGGGGTAAAGTCCAGGCTCAGGTTACAGTAAATCTGTGTTTGATCTGAAATCACGACCTGGTGAACCCGAAGTGTGGGAGGGATGATGGAAAGATTAAACCAGAACTAAACCAAGACTAAACAAGGACTAAACTGGGACTAAAACTCAAGATAACTTCATAATAGTCGTAGTCGTTTCTTCGGTCATTTTTAGGATATCCACGTTTCACAGTAAGATATTTTCACGATGTACATCTCATGGTACGATATTTATTGCGATATTTTTGTGGAGGCGAACAAAACTGAATATTCTACTTTTTCCTCTTAAAACGTCTTGACAAAAAACTAAGACTTAAAAGTATTAGAACTGTTATTTCTTCTTGTAGTCTGCACTGAAACAGAGCAAAGGATCATGGTCTATGTAGTTCTCTTTGTTTGTTTTCGCTATTCCTGCACCATAACTCTTCATTTAAGCAGAGACACTTGTAATTCGATAAATTGTGACGATCCACGATATTTTTTTGAGAACTTTAACGATACAATATCACGATATTTCAGTTATTGTTACATCCCTAGTCATTTTGCAGCACTACAGAACAAAACAAAACAAAACATAGACTACAACTCAAGACAAGAGAACAGCAAGTTTGTGTTTACAATTTCACTTACGACTCACTGTACACAGGGTTCTCACTCTTTCACTGACAAAATTTCAAAACTTTTCCATGAAAGTGAAATACAAATATATATATATATTTTTTTTTAATTTTGGAAAATTACGCACTCATTGAAACAACAGTTTTGGTTAAAGCCATTTTTATGTAAATATCTGTTTTAACGACCTCTCTTCTTCTTTTACAGTACGAACTCGTGGAGATGAAGGTAAAACACAAACACACACAGATACACACACACACACACAGATACACACACACACACACACACACACACACAGATACACATACACACACACACAGATCACACACACACACACACACACACACACACACAGATACACACACACACACACACACACACAGATACACACACACACACACACACACACACACACACACACACAGATACACACACACACACACACACACACACACAGATACACACACATACACACACACACACACACAGATACACACACACACACACAGATACACACACACACACACACACACACACACACAGATACACACACACATACACATACACACACACACACACAATACACACACACACACACACACACACACACACACACACACAGATACACACACACACACACACACAGATACACACACACACACACAGATACACATACACACACACACACACACACACACACAGATACACACACAGATACACACACAGATACAAACACACACAGATACACACACACACACACAGATACACATACACACACACACACACACAGATACACATACACACACAGATACAAACACACACAGATACACATACACACACACACAGATACACACACACACACACACACACAAACACACACACACACACACACAGATACACAGATACACACACACACAGATACACACGCACACACACACAGATACACACACAGATACACACACACACACACACACAGTCTGTGTAATATTTGTGGTACTTTCAGGATTACCGTGGTAACCGTGTGGCTCAGTGGTTGGAGCAAAGTTCGTCCGGGAGGATCCTACAGTTGACCTTTGACCTTGACCCTCATGCCGTAGAGGGAACCTACTCTGTGTCTGTGAAGGTCAAAGGTCAGAGGCACCCCGTCACTCACACATTCGTGGTGGAGAAGTACGGTGAGGATACTACGAATAATACTGCCAATACTACTACTGCTACTGTTATTACTACTACTACTGTTATCACTCCTGCTGCTGCTGCTGCTACTACTACTACTACTACTATTACTACTCATACTACTAATACTACAACTACTAGAGGTGGGACTTGCAAGTTGTGACTTAGACTCGAGTCAGACTTGAGTCACTATTTTTAGGACTTGACACTTGACTTGATAAAATGGACTAAGACTTGTGACTCGACTTGGACTTGAGGCCTGTGACTTGAGAAGCACTTTTAAATCTAAATTCTTTCTGATCTGACCGTAATGATTCACACTAAGATCTTAATTAATTTATCCAACTCTTATATAAATACTCATATATAAAATATACTATAATTAAGTAGTAATACTAATAAAAATAGTAGTAATAATACTAATATAATACTATGTAATAATTATAATAAATAATAGGAAATTAGTAATAATACTACTAATAATAGTCGTAATAATAATAGTAGTACAATTTATCTTAAAAGTCATATAAATTGCAAAAATCTAAGCTGCTTTGGTTTAAAGACTTGAAATGACTTGAAGCTCAAAGCAGACGACTTGGACTTGACTTGGACTTGACTTGGACTTGACTTGGACTTATGGGCCAGTGAATTGAGACTCGACTTGGACTTGTCTGTATTTGACCTGGGACTTGACTCGGACTTGAGGTGAAAGACTTACTTGAGACTTGCAAAACAAAGACTAGACCACTACTATGACTACTACTACTACTACTACTACTACTACTACTACTACTACTACTGCTACTGCTACTGCTACTACTACCACTATCACTACTACTTCTACTACCACTACTACTACTACTGCTACTGATACTACTGCTACTGCTACTACTACTACTGCTACTACTACTACTACTACTACTACTACTACTACTACTACTACTACTACTACTACTACTACTACTACTACTACTGCTACTACTGCTACTACTACTACTACTACTACTACTACTGCTACTGCTACTACTACTACTACTACTACTACTACTACTACTACTACTACTACTACTACTACTACTACTACTACTACTACTGCTACTACTGCTACTACTACTACTACTACTACTACTACTACTACTACTACTGCTACTACTACTACTACTACTACTACTACTACTTCTACTACTTTCTATCTTTAACATGTTCTTTCTTTTTAGTCTTTGCCACATTAGTTTTCCCCAAACCTGCAACAATCAGACACAAACACAACACCGACAAACACAGACAAACACCGACAAACACAGATATTCACAGATATTCACAGATATTCACATTCACAGATATTCACAGATATTCACGTGAACAGAAAGAGCTCTGATTTATCTGAACTACAACAGGTGAGTAGATTTGTGCTGTTAAACAAAAAAACTCTCAAATAACAAGACAGTCACAAGCTAACGTTAGCGCTAGCATTAGCGTTAGCATTAACCAACAGTTTTTTTATTAGTCCTTTTACACAACGGCCTGAAGTGCTGCGATGTAGGACAAACGTAACTGCTGATTAATGGTTTTCTGTGGCAAAATGTGTGTGTAAATGTGTGTCGTATTCCCCATCAGCTTCATAAATCTGCTCAAATAACCAAATCTTCAACCAACAAGTTCCACAAAGGATAAACATTCTAACATGAACAATTTATCCACAACTATCAAGAGAAGAAAGAGCAAAACTTAAAGGAAACAACAACGATGCATTAGTGACACTGAACAAAACTAACGTTATGGATCATGAATAAAACAGAAGGAACTTGTTCATGCAGACTGATTCTACAATTAAAATAAAAAATGTTTTTCATGATGTCGATATATGAGAAAACACGATCACACATGTGATTTTTCCAGATTTTTCATACGTAAAAATGCCACCCTCGTGAATAATGCAAATCTGTTTTTGTTTGTTTGTTTGTTATTAATTCTGGTTGTTCTTAATGACCTCAAACTGATTTTATGTGGTACACAGTGCTCAAAAATCTGTCAAAATGTTTTAGTCCAACAAGGAGCCAGTACCTATTACTCCTCGAGGAGTAATGTGTGCATAAGGACGTCACGTTCAGGCCGGCAGCCATTTTGGTAGGCAAAAAGCGTCCATATCAACAAGTCAACATCAACATCATCAACACTTTATCGGCGTACATCAACAGTCGTCATACCACAGTACAACATCAACATCATATCATCATTAGTCACATTCAGTGACTTAGACTAAGATGATGAAGTCATGTCAAAACAATTAAATGCAAAACCTACTTCAAAATACGAGGACTTATCAAGACACACATAGGCAACGCAACTGTCAACACAAATGACAAACTTAACTTTTTGCCTACCAGCCACTGCACACGTGCGGAACAGCCAGATGTAAACAAAAACAATGTTTTCTCGTATTACCATCGACAGACAGATTTGTGCAGTTTAAATGTTCGACTTGTAATCTGTGAACATCTGTAGCATTTAAACTGCACAAATCTATCTGTTTATGCTAATATCTACATCATGAAATTTTAATTCTAGACTCAGTAACAAGTTACTTGTTAATTACTTCTGTTTTATTCATGATCATAACATGAGTTTAGTTTCTTGTGTGACTAATGCTGGTCGTTGTTTCCTTTAAGTTTTGCTCTTTCTTCTCTTGATCGTTGTGGATAAATTGTTCATGTTAGAATGTTTGTCCTTTGTGGAGCTTGTTGGTTGAAGATTTGGTGATGGGGCAGATTTATGAAGCTGCTGGAGAATATGACACACATTTGCACACACATTTACACACACATTTACACACATTTACACACACATTTACACACATTTACACACACATTTACACACACATTTACACACACATTTACACACATTTACACACACACACACATTTACACACACATTTACACACACACACACACACATTTACACACACACACACACACATTTACACACACACATTTACACACATTTACACACACATTTACACACACATTTACACACACACATTTACACACACACACATTTACACACACATTTACACACACATTTACACACACATTTACACACACATTTACACACACATTTACACACACATTTACACACACATTTACACATATTTACACAGAAAACCATTAACCGGGAGTTACATTTACCGACATCGTGGCTCATCTAGCAGTTGTGAAAAAGGTCTGTTAGTCACTACTAAACTGGATTCTCTTCAAATCATGTATTTTTTGTTTTTTTTGTTGCTAATGTGTGTATTGTGTTCCCATGGTGACAGCTGAAAATTCCACCAGAGAGATACATGTAGAACACCCTCAGTGTGATTAACTTTTCACTTTTTTTCTAGTTCTGCCAAAGTTTTCTGTTGAAGTGGAGGCTCCAGATGAAGTCAGCATCGCTCTGGAAGAACTCTCCTTTAAAGTGTGTACAAAGTGAGTCAGATGCCCTCCCTGTGCCTCAGATGCCCTCCCTGTGCCTCAGATGCCCTCCCTGTGCCTCAGATGCCCTCCCAGATGTTGTTGTGGTTGGATAATACAGTTGTACATGATTGTTTTCAGATACACGTTTGGTCAGTCGGTGCCGGGGCAGGTGGAGGTCAGTGTGTGCAGAGACTTTGAACCACAGAGATACAGCCCAAGTCCAAAAGTAAACCCCCCTGTGTGCCACAAAGAAGTACAGGAGGTACATAATAGTACTGCTGCTGCTACTACTACTACTACTACGACTACTACTATTACTACTACTGCTGTTATTACTACTACTTGTAGGTGCCCAAAGATGGCTGTGCGTCCTTCTCCATTCCAACATCTCAGTTTAAAAACATCTCTCGGATGGAAGCTGCATACAGCATAAACGCCATGATGATCGAAGAGGGAACAGGTACCTCAAACTACCATTACTACTTATTATTACTATAATTTATTGTTTATTTGAACAGGGACAGATCCACAGACACAGATGAACACTGCAGGGATTTGTTTACAGCCAAATACAGTACAGTACAGTACAGTATAGTACAGTACAGTATAGTGTAGTGTAGTACAGTATAGTGCAGTACAGTACAGTGCAGTAAAATATATTACAGTACAGTACAGTACAGTACAATACAGTACAGTGTGTACTGTACTAGTGTAGTATAGTACAGTGTAGTACAGTGTAGTACAGTACAGTACAGTATAGTACAGTGCAGTAGAGCCACAGTGTCACAGTGGTGAGACGCACACAGAGGATCACAGCTGCAGGGTTCGTGTCAGACCAGATCGCTGTGAGGGGAGCAATTCTTAGTCCAGTTCTTTAAACTGTGGTTTGAACCTAAACCTGATCCTTTTCCTCAGACCTGAAGCAGTCTGTGACACAGAAGATCAAGATCTCGTATGAAATTGGAAAAGTGGAGTTTGTGAATCCTCCCAACAGATACAACCCTGGTGAAGTACTGGAGCTGCAGGTACTTTTACTCACTCAAACTGACGTTATTATTGTGTCTCTGGGAGTATTATGCTAAATATTTTTTTGAGCTTTCAAACATTTTATGACATTGGTCCTTCATCAAAAACATGCCTGGTTTTTTAGTGATCTCTGCCAGGAGGGTTTGAATAGGGCACTGGAGAGATCACTAAATTACTCAAACATGCATGGATGACTCTAAACCCTCTTCAGGTATGTTTTTGAGTTGATTTGCTTCATACAAAATGGATGGATTCTCCAAAGTGCAGATGTGAGTGAACAGCTGGTTTAACCCTCTCCAGGCATTGCAGATTTGCAACAGCTAAATGCCAATTACCAACTTACTCCAAATCTCAGGAGCCTTTTTTCCCATCCATGCTGATAAACTTGGACGATGGAGACTGTGCAAGAACGGCTACACACAAACGACCTGCCAGAAGTGCAAAGTACTTTTGTTATTTACAAAAAAAAAAAAATTGTTTCTTGGAGCACCACATGAAAAAGTGATGTTGTTCTGCCACTGTAAAGCTGTTACACTGTGCTCTTTGTTTTCATTGTTATGAAAAGTGGTATATACATAAAGTTAGCGTTCATGTCATTTTCAGTCTTCAGTGTTAATTTACCACACCAGACCAATGTTGCAAATCTGAAACATCCCAGAACGCATTGGATGTGAAAAAAAAGTCAGGATTGTATATTACTACCCCATATGATCATTTTCCCCAAATATCAGATTTTTTCCTGTTACTAAAATTTAATTTGAGCCTAAGAGGGTTAAATGTGTTTTCTGTGCAGGTGAAGGTGGTGCATTATAATAACACACCAGTCTCCCACACTGAGGTCCATCTGATCACAGAAGATGACGATGAGCTCCAAAAGCTGAAGACTGACCAGGACGGACACGTTACCTTCAGCTTCAACACCAGCTCCTACTCAGACTCTGTCGGTCTCATGGTGGGTCCAGAGGTAGACCTAGGATTAGACCTGGTTTAGTCCTGGTTTAATCCTGGTTTAGTCCTGGTCAGAGTCTGGTCAGGACTTGGATGGGAGATTACTGGGAATACAGGTGCCACAGGTGCAAACTGTTGTTGTGTCTTCAGGCAAGACACTTGACCCACATTACCTAGTATGAATGTGGTGTGTGTGAGTGTTGGTGGTGGGAGGGGCCGATGGTGCAGATTGGCAGCCTCTCTTCTGTCCGTCTGCCTCAGGGCAGCTGTTGTTACCATAGTTACTTGACTCCATTGAGTGTGGAGTGAATGAAGAATGCACAAAATCACAAAGTAACTTTAGCGTCTGAGAAAAGCAGACCTGCAGTCACCAGGTCATATGGAGCGAGTCCTGAGCTTCAGATGCAGCGGTGAAAGTGGATTTGTATTTGTCGTTCTGTAAAATGATCTACTGAGACCTTTCTCAGCACTTTTATAGTGGCTCCTGTGTGTTATTGTGTCATTTTATAGGTCACTTATTTTCTTTGTATTGATACTTTGCAGTGGCATCATGTTGGGGGTGTTCTATTCTTGTACCTATGGTAGATTGTTCAGCAGTTACCAGTTTCCATGGTGATTTACTACTGTAAAATATACTAAGGGATGCTGTCTGTATTAACCCGCTGCAGGGTGCTCTTGGAAGGATCAGCCAGATGTCTTGAATAAGTGTGCTTTATTGAGTATTCAGCATTACTGAAATGGTGTAAGTGTGTGGTTGTTTATATTACACACACACTACCAAAGATGAAAATAACCTCTAAAAAAACACAACAACAAGAGCATGTCTCGCTGCTTGCAGTTCCAAAAAAAAACACTGAACCCCAGTACCTGGCCCCAGCCCTGCAAGATGGGGCCACATAAGAGGTTCTGGTTAAGTTAGAGTAAGTTCTGATTGGTCGCTGCACGCAGTGACAGTCTCCATGTGGAAGACCAAGAATACAAGGCCAAAAACAATTTTAAGAAAAAATACAACATGAATTTAAACTAGTGTAACCAGACTTCCCCATTTACCCGGGACAGTCCTGTGTCCAGCAGATTTATACAAAACCAGTGATTTGTCCAGTTTTATGCAAGAAATGTTCCAGGTGTATTTTGGACCAATCTGATCCCTGCCAACAGTAAAGAAAGGCATAAATTGTCATTTGTTTAGGTAAAATACAGAAAAGCTGCTTAAAAATGACCAAAACACAAAGAAAATCTGACTATACTTATTCACTTTACGAGTGCAGAACAATTTTGCTTAATTATGCACTCATTTCACAATTTTATTATTACCAACCACCACGAAGAAGAAAGTTCCAGTTTTTTATTTTGAAAATCTGGTCACACGTCTTTAAACAGCACATTTTCAGGAGCCTGTGATAATTCCTGGTCCTGTTTCGTACTATACTATTAAAACATGCAGTTAAAAGCATAAAGTTAAAGTGGAACAGTATGTTTGAGGGATTGTGAGTAAAAACATTGATAAACTCTGCTTTAAACCACTCAAAAAACCCCTGTGTCTCTCCTCCACAGGCCAGTCTGTATGAACATGACAGGCACAGTCACTTGGAGCCTCACTTCAGCACTGCGTTTCTGCAGCTGCAGGAGATCAAACCTGTCTCCCTCCACACCAGGACCACCAGTTCTCTGGAGGTCAAGGGGGAGGACCGGACCCTGGCGTGCGGGGACAAAGAGAGCTTCACTGTGGGCTACTCCATCGTGGGCGAGGGCCAAGGGACCATCAACATCATCTACCTGGTGAGTGTGTGACCCTCACGCCTCACTGGGTCACAGTAACACGACACACAAGTGAGATGTGTTCCTGAAGTACACCACGGTCAGTGAGAGGATTTATTATGTCAGGTAAAAGAAGATTTGAGAAACTGTGAGAGCTGTGGTTGGACCACAGTCGGGTGGATTTACATCACAGCAAAAATGACTGAAGTTTTGTAGAGAAAGTCCATCCATCCAGTTTCTTCTGCTTATCCGAGACCGGATCACGGGGGCAGTAGTCTAACAGGGACTCCCAGACTTCCTTCACCCTGGACACTTCCTCCAGCTCCTCTGGGGGGACCCCAAGGTGTTCCCAGGCCAGCCCAGAGACATAGTCCCTCCAGTGTGTCCTGGGTCTTCCTCGGGGCCTCCTCCCGGTGGGACATGAACACCTCCCGAGGGAGACGTCCAGGAGGCATCAGAACAGATGTCCTCCCCTCAGCTGCTCCTCTTGATGTGGAGGAGCAGCAGCTCTACTCCGAGCTCCTCCCGTGTAACTGAGCTCTTCTCCCTATCCCTAAAGGAGCGCCCAGTCTGTAATTGAAACTCATTTCGATCGCCCAGATTGGCAGCACCAGGGCTTTCGCCGACAGCTAAAGTTACATTAAACTTTCTCGGGTTCCATATTTTCCCGACTGTTGCAATGGAACACATTTACAACGGATGTCGGGAGAACTGACTCAGATTTATCAAGTACTGACATTCAATAGAGTGCAGGGATAATTATGGATCGTCCCTAAAGTGCGGTACGTTTGTTGAGTGTGAGAACAATCATTGGGACTTTGGCCTGGTTGGAGGCGGCGGGCCAAAGCACAACACAGTTGCTCATGTACGTGCAGTGTGACATCATCCACGGCATGCGGCGCCAGTCAAATGAAGCTTACTGAAGCTTGCAGCTTCCATATTAGGAATAGTAATTGATTTATGAACAGCAAAATACAAACCTCAGAATCATCTAGAGCGGGTTAATAAAACATTTTAAGACCAAACAGCAGCAGTTACAGAGAGAGCGGTGACGATTTTTCAATACAAAGTGAACTGGAGCCAGAGTTGACAGAGCCGGAAGTGCGTCCATGTGTCTGTACATAAGAACATAAATAGTTGGTAGCACATGTAGGTGACAGCACATGTCCCTGGGGAGAGTCTGTACAGATGAACCAACACTTTCAACTTTCTCAGACCTAAAAAATATTTTTTTTATGTTTTACTTTGTCCAAATATTTTTTTCTTGTAATTAAATGAAATACTGTTGTGTCCTTCCTCAGGTCCTGTCCAGAGGAGTCATCGTTAAATATGGACATTACAGCTCGTACTTGGACACAAGTAAGAGTCAAATGTAGTTTCACTTTGGCTCTGTCTAGTAGTAGTAGTAGTAGTAGTAGTAGTAGTAGTAGTAGTAGTAGTAGTAGTAGTAGTAGTAGTAGTAGTAGTAGTAGTAGTAGTAGTGTGATTATGACACACTTTCTTCCCTCTCAGTGATGGAAGGGGAGTTGACCTTTGACCTGGAGATCACAGGTGACCTGGTGCCCGCTGTGACCGTGGTGACCTACGCCGTCCTGCCCAGTGCCAATGTCATCGCCACATCCAGAGAGTACTCCACAGAGAAGTGCTTCACCAACAAGGTAAAGTACAAGTACTGCAACTAGGAACAAGTACTGCAACCAGGTACAAGTACTGCACCCAGGTACAAGTACTAAGGATCTATGGCTAAAGAGGAACTGCCACAGGGACCTGAGGATCAAAGGCTCATACGGGGTTAAAAGTTCTGACATGTAACTTGGTGCAAGACCTAAAGGAGCTTTAAAAGTGATGAGTAAAATCTTCAAATTGATTCTAAAACACACAGACAGTGAAGGGAAGGAAGTAAAACAGAGTCATGTGTTCATGTTAAACCCAGTGAGGAGCCGAGCTGCTGCTTCCGAACCAGTTTGAGGTGGGAGATGGATTTGGAGTCCAGGTCGGAGAGGTAGTAGTAGTAGTAGTAGTAGTAGTAGTAGTAGTAGTAGTAGTAGTAGTAGTAGTAGTAGTAGTAGTAGTAGCAGTAGTAGTAGTAGTAGTAGTAGTAGTAGCAGTAGTAGCAGTAGTAGTAGTAGTAGTAGTAGCAGTAGTAGTAGTAGTAGTAGTAGTAGTAGCAGTAGTAGTAGTAGTAGTAGTAGTAGTAGTAGTAGTAGTAGTAGTAGTAGTAGTAGTAGTAGTAGTAGTAGTAGCAGTAGTAGTAGTAGTAGTAGTAGTAGTAGTAGTAGTAGTAGTAGTAGTAGTAGTAGTAGTGTCTGTGTATATTCCAGGTGCAGGTGCAGTTCTCTCCTCCCTCCTCCGTCCCCGGGGAGGACAGCTCTCTCTCCGTCTCCGCTGCTCCTCTGTCTCTGTGTGGACTCAGCGCCGTGGACAAGAGCGTCCTCATCCAGAAACCAGGGAAAAGTCTGGACCCAGACAAGGTACTGGACCAGGACTGGACCAGGACTAAATCAGGACTAAACAAGGACTGAATAGGGACTGAACCAGGACTAAACCAGAACTAAATGAGAACAAAACCAGGTCTAATCCAGGTCTTTCTGCAGTTCCTGTCCCTTTTGCCGGTCCAAAGGTCAGAGTCTTTTCCTGATAGTATTGAGGACCCTCAGGAGTGTACAAAAGTGCGCTCCAGACGAGATATTATTCTCCGAGAGAGGAACAACGAGGATGTTTACCACGAACTCAAGGTAAAGTTACACCAGATGCCCTTCCGTAACACTATAACACAATTTAACTATAACACTATAACACTATTTAGTCCAGTCTGGTCCGAGACACAAGGTCCAGGAGCCGAGTGCACGAGCTGGTTGTAAAACACTTAATCTCACTTCCCACTTAAATCTAAAAGTTTGGGCCGGTCCATATTAACACCAGGACTCCAGGTGGACTTAATCCCTCTGCGCTACATCCACTCCACTTTTACAGCCAGAAACGAGCGGGCAGAGGCGGACAGAGCAGCGAGTGACTGTCCCAGCCCCGGCAGCGCCTGCCCCGGGTCCCAGCGGTGACAGCGGGTGCTGCTCCCCTCGCTCTCTCCTCTGTGAAGTCTCTATCCGCCATTATCCAGTGTGTGAATCAAAATAAGAGCTGCAGGATTCCACCGCAGCCAAATGCTTCATTTCAGTTTAATGCTTCTTTTCTTGATTGGCAGAAGGGTCCCGCTGACGACAAGACATATTACTCCCTAAAAACTGTTCCTCGAAGGCATTTTGACTTGAAGTTGAACTCGTCATAACTCCTGTAGCACACAGCTCTGTTGTCATCTGCTCATGAGCCTGTAGCAGTGACACGCGTCAGTGCAGAGTCGAGGCTGAGCGAGCAGAGCATTTATCACTCGCTTATATTTGCTCTCACAGGTTATTCGCGAAGGCCCGGAAGATGTCGTAATATAATCCAACCCATAACTCGATGAAATATGATTGGCTTAGACAACTGTCAATCTCAAAATTATACACACATTCACTTGTATAGACGCATCAAGAATTTCAGACTTCCAGTCATCGTGCAATTCATACTGGGAAGGATTTTCTGAAAAAGTGAGCGTCAAACCTCCATGTTTGTTTTTCCCAGTGGGATGTGTCTATTGACAAAACCGATCTTTTCAAGTCTTTTGAACCATATCACTTTTGTTTCTGGTTCTGATATTGTCATATTTTAGTTTTGGGATTTAGACGTCGTAATTGTGTGGTTGTTGGATCCTAACAGTGGAAAACGGCTCGAGAAATGTGTTTGTGATTTCCATAAATGCAAAAGTCAGATGTGTGTGACTCAAACCTCTGTTCAAACTGTTTCTCTTCCCAACGGAATTGAAAAATAGTGAAAGGTGAAGGTGATGGGCAGGACTGATCCACAGGAAGAACCAAAAAGGAAAACATTTGCCTGCCTAAATCATCCCAAGTTTACAGAGAACATTTTGTATGTGGAGCGACGACAAAACAAAATCCCAATGCCTCACTCAACCTCGGTTATGAATTTAAAAATTCAACGCCAAAGTGAAAGTCTCCAACTGTTCACCAAGAAACACCTTCCACTGCAAAGAGACCAAGACGTGATGTTTCTGTAAAACCACAAGAACAAGAAAGTGCAGCTCAGTCTGTTTGTCTTCTGCACCTCTCCATTAACAAACGGGATCCCTCTTTGATGCAACAACGGTTTGCAGTCACACACACATCTGATTCACTTTTGCATTTGTGGGGTTTGCAAACAAATTTCTCGAGTCGTTTTCCGCTGCCAGGATCCAACAACCACACAATTACGATGTCCGAATCCCAAAACTAAAATATGACAATATCAGAACCAGAAGAAACAAAAGTGATATGGTTCAAAAGACTTGAAAAGATCGGTTTTGTCAATAGACGCATCCCACTGGGAAAACAAACATAGAGATTTGATGCTCACTTTTTCAGAAAATCCTTCCAAGTATGAATTGCGCAATGACCGGAAGTCCAAGATTCTTGATGTGTCTATTGCACGGGCCTTCACTACAGGAAGGCGGAGGTCCTGCAGGTGTTTCTTTAGTTCAGTGCTGCACGGGGAGTCACTGATTTACCCAGATACCACTGGAAGAAAAACTGTGATTGGTCCATTTCATTCCATTATATTAACCCTTTGTTTCCCAAGAAATATTAGTCCAAGTTTTTAACAGTGAGCTACACTGAAAAAAAAAGGTTGCTGGATTTGCGTAAAAGTTATGGAAAGCGGTTGCATGCAATAAAATTATGTTTAGGCTTTGAAACTTATTTTGATCTCCTCTACACATATTTTTCTCAGAACATGAACATCACTTTTTCATGTTGATGAAATTTGATCAAGTCATGCTGAATATGCATATTTATCTTATGGTACCTTATCATGAAATGTATAAGTATGTATAATTTAATTTAATTGATCTAATTCTGTAAAAGAATACAAAAACAGTCTTTAGTTTTCCACAGATCTGTATTGTCTTAAACAGAATCAAACACAAAGAGAGCACAGGGACAGAGACACACAGTTTGGAGCTGGACAGTGTGAAGATTTATTCCAGTGAAGAAGCTCTGGTCTCTGCCTGTGGACACACGAATAACACATGATGATCACATTCTGATGATCTACTGTGTTGTACATGTTTAAATACATTTAAAGTACCTGTAATGGACCAGAACAGAATCACAAGAACATTAGAAGTGTATCTGCAGAAACAAAACTCACCATGTGCTGCTTTTCTTCCTCTAAAACACAGTAACAGGGAGGGCATCTGGTATAAAAGTCCTCCTAATGCCACATCACCCTGTAGAAGCACGATAACTGTTTCAATAGGAAGTTCATTTTGAAAAATTTTAAAATAATTTTAGTTGGTTTACTTACTTTGTTCATCTGTGGTCTGTGTTTTGTTCTCAAACATCTTCCTTTTTTCTGAAACATCAACTATAACATTCATGATCTTCCCCACAGCTTCAGCAGAACCTGGACGTCTCTGTGTTTGTAGACGACTCTGGAAGCAACACATTTAAATCTTAGTACAAGTGTCACACTCTTGTAGATGTAGAGTCAAAGACAATTTGTTTCAAGGAGTCCTTACATTAACTCTAATTTCAAATAAAACACCACAAACATGTTTTAACAGTGACTAGGCCGGAGAAGCACATAATAAAATCTTTAAAAAGTCTTACCTCCAGATCAGTTCTCATAATCCTCCTGCTCCACACTGTGTGTCTCTGCTCCTGTAACTCTCCTGTGTCCTGCTACATCTGAATTTTCCCTCCAAAAGTTTTGGGGAGGAGAATTCCAGAGGGAGGAGCCTCACCAGAAATTATAATAAAGTCATGTTTCCTCAACCTGATTAAAATATGCAGGTCTCACATCGGCCACAATCAAGTGACCTTTGTAAGATTTAAACATGCTTGACAGAGAAACGTAAAAAAGTGATGTTATTGTTGTCAAATTTGTTTTTGCAATTTGAGCAACCCCCCTCAGACCGTTTTTTCAGTGTAGAAGTGTTGTGTTTATTACTCACTGAATAAAAACTATTGAAAAAATATATTAGTAGTACAAAAATTCTTTCAATTTTTTTTTCTTGGGCATTCACTGAATACCTTTAAGGCCCTGAGGGTTCCCCTCTGGATTTGTGTCATGGTTCAGTGTGGTTTTCTCTCTCGTGTTACAGAAGCGAGGACTCAAACTGGTGACCAACCTCTTCATCCGGACGCCCTCTTGTGTGAACTTCAGAGGGATCGAGTACCACGGGCAGTCCCCCGGACTGTACAGAACCGGCATCAGGTGTGAGTATCACTTTACAACTATAACAACAATAAGAAAAGTACTGGGTTAGTTCTGACTCAGTCCTGTTCAGCCCTGGTTTAGTTCTGGGTCAGTCCTGATTCAGTCCTGGTTCACTCCTAATTTTTCAGTTTCAGATATTCCTGTGATGATGAATATGATAATTCCTGAGGCGCTAATAGAGTATGACAGTGATTCTCCTCCTCCTCCTCCTCCCATCGTCACGGTCCGGACCTTCTTCCCCGAGACCTGGATCTGGGACCTTATGGAAGTGGGGTGAGTCTGCACACTCCTCGCTTAGTCCCAGTTTAGTCTTGGTTTTATTTTAATCCTGGATTAATCCTGGTTTAGTCCTGGTCTAACTCTGGTCTAGCCGTGGTTTAATCCTAGTCTAGCTGTGGTTTTAGTCCTGGTTTAGTCCTGGTTTAGTCCTGGTTTAGCTCTGGTTTAGCTCTGGTTTAGTCCTGGTTTAATCCTGGTGGTGATCCTCCAGACCCTCGGGCCAGGCGTCTCTGTCCGTCTCCGTCCCAGACACGATCACGTCCTGGGAGACGGACGCCTTCTGCCTGTCCTCGGATCAGGGAATCGGACTGGCAGCCCGGCAGCAGCTCACCGTGTTCCAGCCCTTCTTCCTGGAGCAGGTCCTGCCCTATTCCATCATCCGAGGAGAGAGCTTCATCCTGAAGGCCACGGTCTTCAACTACCTCCAGTCCTGCATCATGGTACAGCACGAGCAGTAGTAGTAGTAGTAGTTGTAGTACTAGTAGTAGTAGTAGTAGTAGTAGTAGTAGTAGTAGCAGTAGTAGTTGTATTAGTAGTAGTCATGGTAGTCATGTAAAAGTTGTAGTAGTAGGTTGAGGTTCAGGCTCAGGTATAACCATAACTTTGCTTTAGTCCTGGTTCAGTCCTGTTTTAGTCCTGTTTTAGTCCTGGTTCAGTCGTTGTGGTCACAGTTGTCCCAGTGTCATGTGAGTGTCTTGCTCGTGGGCACAGGTGCAGTGTGACCTGTGTTCTCTGTTCTTCAGATGGACGTGCAGGCGGCGCCCTCTGCTGGCTTCACCCTCACGCCTCTGTCCTCAGACCAGTACAGGTCGTGTCTCTGCGGCAACGAGCGCAAGACCCTGAGCTGGATCCTGCTCGCCTCCTCCCTCGGTAACACGGCAACACCACAGTAAAGACACACTGCGGAACCTTCTGGAGGCGCTCACTGTGTCAGCCCACGGAAACACAAACATAAAACCAGACAACAGTTTCCATGGAGACAAGCAGACCAAGGCCCAGTACGGGTCAAGTTTGTGGAGATGCAAGCCTGCTCATAGGTTTAGTAGTAGTACTAGTAGTAGTAGTAGTAGTAGTAGTAGTAGCAGTAGTAGCAGTAGTAGTAGTAGTAGTAGTAGTAGTAGCAGTAGTAGTAGTAGTAGTAGTAGCAGTAGTAGTAGTAGTAGTAGTAGTAGTAGTAGTAGTAGCAGTAATAGCAGCAGTAGCAGCAGTAGTAGTAGTAGTAGCAGTAGTAGTAGTAGTAGTAGTAGTAGTAGTAGTAGTAGTAGTAACAGTAGTAGTAGTAGTAGTAACAGTAGTAGTAGTAGTAGTATCAGTAGTAGTAGTTTTGGTATTTAGCAGTAGTAGTAGTAGTAGTACTAATACTAGTACTAGTAGCAGTACACATATTTTTAGAAGCTTAACCAAAGTAAAAACAAAATAAAAAATGACACAGTGGAGCTTTAAAGCCACACTGTGGAACATGTCACATAAGTAACAGGACAGTTCAGGAGTTTTTATTGGTGAAACGTCCCATGAAAATCATGTGTGAGCGGACTCGCCTCTCCATAGACCCGACTTGTCTTAGTTCAGTCCTGGTTTAGTCTTGGTTCAATCCTGGTTCAGTCCTGGTTTAGTCCTGGTTTAGTCCTGGTTTAGTGGTTTAGTTTGGTTTAGTCTGTTTAGTCTTTAGTCTTGGTTTAGTCCTGGTTTAGTCTGGTTTAGTTCTGGTTTTCCTGGTTCAGTCCTGGTTTAGTCCTGGTTTAGTCTTGGTTTAGTCCTGGTTTAGTCCTAGTTTAGTCCTAGTTTAGTCTTGGTTTAGTCCTGGTTTAGTCCTGGTTTAGTTCTGGTTTAGTCTTGGTTTAGTCCTGGTTTAGTCCTGGTTTAGTTCTGGTTTAGTCCTGGTTTAGTCCTGGTTTAGTCCTGGTTTAGTTCTGGTTTAGTCCTGGTTTAGTCCTGGTTTAGTCTGGTTTAGTTCTGGTTTAGTCCTGGTCCTTTAGTTCTGGTTTAGTTCTGGTTTAGTCCTGGTTTAGTTCTGGTTTAGTTTAGTCCTGGTTTAGTCCTGGTTTAGTTCTGGTTTAGTCCTGGTTTAGTCCTGGTTAGTCTGGTTTGTTCTGGTTTAGTTCTGGTTTAGTCCTGGTTTAGTTCCTGGTTTAGTTCTGGTTTAGTTCTGGTTTAGTCTTGGTTTAGTCCTGGTTTAGTTCTGGTTTAGTTCTGGTTTAGTTCTGGTTTAGTCCTGGTTTGGTTCTGGTTTAGTCCTGGTTTAGTCCTGGTTTAGTTCTGGTTTAGTTTTGGTTTACTGGTTTAGTCCTGGTTTAGTTCTGGTTTAGTTCTGGTTTAGTCCTGGTTTAGTCCTGGTTTAGTTCTGGTTTAGTCCTGGTTTAGTTCTGGTTTAGTTCTGGTTTAGTTTTCCTGGTTTAGTTCTGGTTTAGTTCTGGTTTAGTTCTGGTTTCTCTGGTTTAGTTCTGGTTTAGTCCTGGTTTCTGGTTTAGTTCTGGTTTAGTCCTGGTTTAGTTCTGGTTTAGTCTGGTTTAGTCTGGTTTAGTTCTGGTTTAGTCTGTTTAGTTCTGGTTTAGTTCTGGTTTAGTCTGGTTTTAGTCCTGGTTTAGTTCTGGTTTAGTCCTGGTTTAGTCTGGTTTAGTTCTGGTTTAGTCCTGGTTTAGGTTTAGTTCTGGTTTAGTCCTGGTTTAGTTCTGGTTTAGTCCGTTTAGTCTGTTTAGTCCTGGTTAGTCCTGGTTTAGTTCTGGTTCTGTGTGTTTCAGGTGAGGTAAACGTTACGGTGACAGCAGAGGCGGTTTCTTCTGACGTCCCGTGTGATAACGAGGTCCAGAGCCTCCCCGAGCGAGGACGCAAGGACGTGGTGACGAGGACGCTCCGGGTCAAAGTACGAAAATAAAATAATTTTTTAATTAAATTAAAAAGTACAAATATTTACGATAAAATCCATGTTTTTCTCCTCCTCAGGCTGAAGGAACAGAAGTGTCCAAGACCTTCAACTGGCTCCTCTGCCCCAAAGGTCAGTCACAGTTTGGCAGCAGTAGTAGTAGTAGTAGTAGTAGTAGTAGTAGTAGTAGTAGTAGTAGTAGTAGTAGTAGTAGTAGTTGTGTTTATGTGTTTATTTATTTATTTCGGACAGTAATAAATAGAACATAAATTAAAAAAAAAACAAAAAACTAAATAATAAAAAAAAAGACAACAACGTAAATACATAGATATAACACAAAAAGTAACTTTCATTCTATAATAACAGGCAAAATAAATGTTACGCAGAATTTTCCTTGTGTCCGAAAAAAAAGAGAGTGGGAGGAAGTAAATACTTATTTAACCCCACCCCTTTTTCTACAGTCCCAAATTAACGAAGAACAAATACAGACTTCTCATTTTCCTGTACATTATAAGCAATAATTGCACAGTACAGTCCAGTTGCAGTAGTACAAGTCTAACAGTAGTAGCAGTAGCAGTACAGTAAGTAGTAGCAGTAGTAGTAGTAGTAGTAGTAGTAGTAGTAGTAGTAGTAGTAGTAGTAGTAGTAGTAGTAGTAGTAGTAGTAGCAGTAGTAGCAGTAGTAGTAGTAGTAGTAGTAGCAGTAGCAGTAGTAGTAGTAGCAGTAGTAGTAGTAGTAGTAGTAGTAGTAGTAGTAGTAGTAGCAGTAGTAGTAGCAGTAGTAGCAGTAGT